TTCATGCATCAGGACTGTTCATAAGCACAGTAGCTAATCCATCTTCGTTAAAACCTATGCCTTCTCTAAGTTTTAAGTCAAAGAAGTAAGAGCTCAATAGCCAATTACAGGATAAAATAAAATTTGTTGTCAAAGAACGATACTGCTTTTTCTGGGATGAATATAAATCAATATAAACGAAGAGTGTATTTTTCTGTGGAGACTATGCTATAGACTGGCAGAAAAGTGACCTGGCAGCTTATACTACTCACCAAGAGAGCAGCACAAGCCCTGAAAAGTGGTAAAAGTTCCATGTCCCTTATGAATACTAATTAAGTCACCAAGAGTCCTTTGTACCAGTAAAGTGAAGGCTTGGCCACCCATGTGATAGCATACAGGCAAAATTCCTGATCATCAAGGACCCACTTTTATGTTAATTAAAAAAATTTTGGTGAAGTTGGTAATTTGAATGATTCTAAAATTCCTTTCAAGAGCGTATTTCTCTTTGCTGGAATAACCCAAACAAATATTTTAATAAATAAGTTTTAATAGAATGAAGAACTGTGAACCAAATAAAGATGGAGTTGTCTCTAGGGAACAGATATCTTCAAATAAAACAATAATTTAAAACAAGGTGAGAAGAACCCGAATACGAGAGAGAGGACTGATTTTAATTGGCTGCAGAATGCTTTGGTTGCTTTAAAAAAAAAAAAAAGTAAATCTTAACATTCAAGACAAAACACATTCAAAAACGTAAAGGCTTGAACACTTGGGCCTGTGTCAGTGGAAGGGATGTTTGTAGCAAGCTAATAAAATCAAGACTTTTTAAAATCTAAATTATTCCTTCCCTTCATTCATCAAGTCAACAAATATTGACTGAGGGCCTGATAAAGGACATCAAACCTTTGGCAATACACAGGTGCTTTTTAATCAATCTGTACTCGTCCATGCGTGCTCAGACCCTGAGTTCCTCCTCTTGCAGGCTGGCCTGAGTCCATGGTCTCCTCTGCCCTACCTCTTTGAGGCTCACACCCTTCACTGATGCTGCCTCCTGCTGACCTCCTGGTCCCTTCTCTTCATTCACTGAACATGTCGGTGCCTGACCTAGCTTTCCTCTCTGCTTCAACTTCTGCCGTCCTCCTGGATGATTTTAATGTCCACCATCCCACCCAACTGTCCTTTCAGGTTTCCTGTTCTCGTTTGGTCTCATGATCTTCATTTAGCCACTGCAAGATCACACTCCACCATGACCTTGCTCCTCTCTGATCACTAATCCATACATCCTGGTCTGAGACTAGTGTTTCCTGTCCTTCCAAACCTGCTTGTTCCAGCAACTCCCAGCAGCCCAGATCTGTTATCAGACTATCCATCAGGCTCCTTACTGTCTTCCCAATGCTCTGTGTCCTTACCTATCCACAGTTTAAATATGTAGGACCACTCTTTCAGCAGTTCTTCAATTAGCATCCCTTTGATCAAACTCATCTGGCAAAACAGCAAGTATCTCCATTTTCTCTGTCTGTACCCAGGCATTGGGGTGCTACTATGGAGGGGAACAACAAAGATCACAACAGGCAAATTAAACTTTAAATTCTCAGTCACCAAATAGGTGGGTCCTCCATACCGTTCTATCATCCTGCTGTACATCTGGTCACTTCATTCTCCACAAAAACCATTTTAAAACCTTTTTCAAAAGTCCAGTCTCCTTCGGTCTCTGACTTTACCGAGGAAACCGAAGCCTGCATGTGCACCTATCCCCTTTCTCCTTCTTTCTAGAATAGAAGCACCCCTTCCATGTGAAAGCCAGCCAGTTTCTCCACAGGCGCTTTGGACCCCATCCTCTTCCAACCTTGTATGGAACCCAAAAGCATCACTGATTCCTTTTGGCTCTCTTATCTTCAACTTCTCCCTCTTTCCCGGGTCCTTTTTAGAAAGTAAAGCAGTAGCTAAAACAGGAAAGGGAGACACATTGTTGCTTCATTCTCTCCTTTTCATGTCCAAAATTCAAAGTTTTGTAAGATAGCTTCTTTCTGCCATGTGCTGCCTCAGCTGCTGTGGAGGGAATGTTTGCAAGCCACTGGTTATTTCCCGGTTAAATTCAGTCGATGCTTTTAATCCCTCACTCTACTTGGTCTCTCAGCAGCATTCCGTACCATGCCGAAAAACTCCCTTCTTCTTCCTTTACTCCTCCTGGTTTTCCTCTCATCTCTTCGGCTACCACTTGTCAGTCTCCTTTGCCTTCTTACCTTCTGCCACTTAACTTTTGTAGAGTTCCTCTGGTTTTTCCCTCAGTTTTCTTTTCCTTGTACTCTACAGCAGGTTGGCATATTTTCTACTTTAAAGGGCCATAAAGTAAAATTATTGGGCTTTGCAGGGTACAAAGTCTGTCTTTAGCAACTTCTCAACTCTGTTATGGTAGTGTGAAAGCGGCCATAAACAAGAATTAGACTAATGAGCATGGCTTATTCCAAAAGCCTCTGTTTACAAAAACAGATGGGCTGGATTTTGCATGTGGTTTGCCAGGCCATATTTTATATGCTTCCTAGTGAGGTACCCTTTCACGTGTCCCCAAACCTGTATATCCAGCTACCTAACATCCACATCTAAGTGTCTCTATAGCATCTCATGAAAGATCTTAACCTAGAAATTCTGCCCTTTCCCTCCAGATCTGGTCTCTCTCCAGTGTCCTTAATAGGAGGCACTGCCATTCAGATGGTTGCACAAGGCAGAAAATAGAGGAGTACCTAAAAGAGGGTAAGTCTAGAAATGGCCATTATTTGAAGCACACAGTCAAATTTAACATTTCGCTAATAGAGCTAAACTTTATTTCCATGTTAATTACATGTTTATATTTGATGTTGTATACATATTAGAATTAACAGACAACTTGGGAGAAAAGCTGAGCGTTCTCCACTGAATGGGTTAAAAAGGAATGTAAAACTACAAAATACTTGTTTAAGTGCTGAATTCTAAATTATGGCAAACAGAACAATAATTACCTTGCCATTTTTCTCTTTCTGGTTTTCCAAGATGAATTTTGTTATAAAATATTTTTCATAACAATTTATTTCAAGAAAGGAAATAAGGGATTAAAACCATTTGACTTTAAGTATAGAGTACAAATAAAAAGTCTTAACACAGAACTGCTATCTTCTATTTAAAATACAAATACTTCATGATAGTATGAATTGAGAGGGATTAACTGATGTCAACTGCAAATCTAAGGACCTAAGCAAACCCATACATGCCATTTGCTTTTGTCTGGAAGAGTTAGACTGATTTAAAGGTGACACACAGTGGAATCCTACTTGAGAACTATGTTAACCATTTGCTACTGAGAATGGGGATGGCCAAATACTAAGTGCTTAGTGACAGAAATTCAGATTCATTGGTTCCAAGTGGCTAAAAGAATTAATCATTCCACCTCGTCTACAATCTACGGCCATGTACAAGTGTAGATTTTTTTAAAGTAAAACTCCAGCTACTCTGAAACTGCTGAAAGTCCCAGCACACAAAGAATACTGTTTATAGAATTCCCATGTTTAAAGAAAACCAAAATTATGGATGGTTTATGAAAGTTGTTATTTGGTGATAAATATGGTTTTTTTAATTCTCTAACCCCCATCACATTTTGTGAAGAAAGTTGTGTTCTTCTTAATATTACTAATTTTTAGATACATTTAAAAGAATCAGCTTAAAACTATTTTCCACCAGGAATTACAGGATGAAAACTCTTAATAAAATAATGCTTATTCTCATTAAACAAGGGTTTAGAATCATCTGCAAAAACCATGTTCTTTTTAATGATGTTTATAGGAGACATTTAATAGACTTCTACTTCGATTATTCCACTGATAAATACCTTCTCATGTAACTGTTTAGGACAGATGATTTATGGCTTTTCAGTATTTAAAATTTCACATTTAATGTCATGTTAAAGCTTTCAAAAATCAGTCTTCCAAGATGAGATGTTTAAAAAAAAGAAAGGATAAAAGAGAGACAAACTCCTTATCAACAAAGCTTCCTCCCTTCCCCGAACTCAACATTTCTCTTATACTTCAAGGCACGCTCCTCTTCTTAGACCCCAGGGGTCAACAAACTTTTTCTGCAAAGGGCCAGGTAATAAACATTTCAGGCTTTGTGGGTCATATGGTCACTATGTAACTACTTGACTTCTGTGCTGCCCTGAGAAAGCAGTCATAGACCTAGGTATTTACAAAAATAGCAGTCTGAATTTGGCCTGCAGGCCTTAGAACAACAGATATAAATAAAACAGAATCATTAAAAAACCAAACCAAACCTGGTCTCTAGTCAGATGACTGACTCAGAATCTAGCAGTTAATCACTCTAGAACATTTTGATGTTGAACGCTTTGCTTTGCATGTAGCCAACTTACTATTTTTGGTTAAGACTTTTCTATTCAAACTTATGTCCTCATGCTTTAATTTATCCTCATTTAAGAACCTGCTTATTATTTATGGAGGGATTCAGTTTAATAAATGATGTCCATACAATTTAATATTCAATTTAATTTTTTAAAAAAACTTAATGAAAAATATAACAGAATCAAAACATTTAAAATAAGTACACTCACTACCCATTCCAGTAATTCATTTCAGTCATATCAACTATAGAATAGGAAAAATAAATTCCGAAGTGTAATTACTTTAAAATACACTACTTCCACTTTTGTTAATATTTTACATTTATGTATATATTCTGTAGTGGAAGCAGAAATTCTCTCTAAAAACATCTCCTTAAAATCTTGAGGTGCATGTTAGAGCCACAGGCAATATCTTCTGACATATAAAATTGCAGTACAGGCCTTCAAATTTGGCATTTCACTGGTACAATACAATGACCAACATATATAATCACTGTACAGTGCCTAGACATTCCAGTAAGAACCATTATTTTCTTTAATGTAGAATGATTAATACATATTCTACAAGGGGCAGTGAGGTTAGTAATTCTATAGGGTATGTCCTGACATAACTTTCAAATTGTACAATAACACAAACGACTCTGTTAAGGCCATGTTTTATTTGCTGATTAATGGACAAAAGGCAATGTAATTTATTTTCAAGTATTTTCTTGAAAGTCTGTGCTCATAAAAATCATGAAAAGTTGGAAAGACTGTTAAATCACTGAAACTTTAAATATATCTTACACAATCTTGTTTGTACAAAAATACAAGTTAAATATAAACATAAAGCAATCAATGATAATTTTATGCAAATCTGTTTTATGTGATCTTCAGTTATATATAAAAGTTTCTGGGTTCGGTTATTTGTGAAAAGATCAATACCAGATAGAATTACTATCTATTGGCAAAGGGCCCTAAAAAGCTTACTTATCATTAATCTTTTACATGGTTAAGTGCATATCCTAATTTGAGATCACCTAAACACTGGAAAAAAACAAAAAATGAAAGGGCAGTATGTCCATAAACCAACAAATAATTTGGCTGTAATGTATCATAAAACACAAAGAAACCCCCCACATCTGTACAATAAACATGATTACATACTCACACGCCAGTGCCCACGTGCATGCATGCACGTGTACACACACACGCAGGCGAGCACGCACACCCAGTCATAAACCCTAATGAGGCGCTACTTCCAGTTCGATATTCAGCTCTGCATTTTTTCTGATTTCATCAAATGAATAGCTTTTTGTCACCTTCCCATTCTTGAAGACAGTATGGAGAAGATCCTGCACAAATATAATAAGACTAAAATGTAACCGTTATATCAGACGATCAAGCAAAATAAGTTAAGGCTTTGAGGAGTCAGACTCACTAGTCAAATACAGAGATGTTTGATGGCATTCCAATTATGAATGTTTACACGCAGTGCTGGTGGAGCAGACGGAAAGCATGGCACTATCTAAAATGGCTATGTAGAAATATTTAGCTTTTATATAAAGCAATGATCTAAATATTCGTAAAAGTTTTCCTTGAAGGGAAAACACGAAAACGGTAGCTGATCCTTCTCTTTATTTTTCCAGGTGGAAGATGCTTATTGCTTGGTTGCCCAGAAGAATCATGGCTGTTGCTGATAATTATGACTGACAGTAGGCAAGGAAAGCCTGCCAGGCCTTCCCTTGTTCCTAGACAACAGACTCAACACTGATTAAACTTATAACCCTGGAATTTAATAAATTTCCTAGTCACTGAGTTTTGGACTTAGAACAACAACAACAACAAAAAAAACCTAAAAAACAAGAAACCAAACCAGAAACAGAAGTAAGTATTGGCTTCTTGATGAATGCTCAATGACGGATTTAAAAACTCGGTGTATATTACAGAAGTTACTGATACACATAATCCATTTCATCGATGCAAGGGTAACAACAGTCAACTGAGAAAACTGAATTCCCTTTTGAGTCTGAGAAAGCCACTTTCGACTCCCTAAGGAATTGTCTGCCCTTGCTTTCCTTTGAAAAATCGACAGATGTAATCCGTTGTGCCTAAGTTTTCCATCAAGATTGAGGTGCATAACCTTTTCTTTCATAAAGTTAAATATCATCAAGGAATGGTGGTTCCTATTCTTAAAATGCCTAGATGATTATAACTGATTACTGTCTCAGATGTTCTAGGGTGTCATTTACATACTCTTGAAATCAATGCATTTTAAAGCCATAGTTGGGACTTTGTCTACACTGACTTTATCAGTCCATCTGGACACACTCATTCGGCAAACTCTCAGTAGCTACAAGAGTTCAGTGAAGGCTACTCAACAACCTGAACAACAGGCTATATTGAAAAGTTTGTTTAGGATCTTATTTTTCATTAAATACAGTAAAATGTTCAGTTCTAGCTCAAAACTTAGTATCACATATACCATAAGTAGAATATCTGAAATGGTATAAAGAATCTACAGTGATAAATTAGTGTTTTATGTTTGGAGCAGTTTTCCTCTAAAAATGAGTTTTTTCAATCCAGCGGCTAAAATACATTTTGTAGCTTCTGAGTTTACAAATATAAGTGTATTTTTTTATGTTAAAGAGCATCAGATCATATGGACCACTTAAGCACACTATAAACTTTTCCAGTTTGGTTGACTTGAATCAGAAAACTTGGTTTAATGTAGGTTTCACCTATTATTATTATTATGTAATCAGAATCCAGTCATAATGTTTTCACATCTTATATTAAGATAACATAATCTGCTTTTGTAGCCCAGAATTGCTGTGAGAAGCACAGGAGACTACAGAAAACCATCTCAACTGGATTCTGCTAAGTTTTTTAAAAAAGGGATTATCTTTCAACACCTTAGAATTTGGATAGCCCTTCCTTTATTAAATTACCAGTTTTACAACATAAATAGCTTCCTTTAAGTATTTTTAGCCATTCCTTTTCAGAAAGGACTCGCTGCCAAGTTGGCACTAACAGTACAGTGGAGTACACGAGGGCTTGCTGAAGTTCATCAGCCACTACCCTGCTGCTCACTGTGTGGATGAACTTTTGCTTTTTTATGAAATGTCCTAGTTTGTCACCCACTGTATGCACAGTTCTTATTTATGATCTAGCCCCTTCTTGGTTTTCATCTTATTTTGGTTGCTAGGTTAGCAACCACACACGTTTTACAGCAAAAGTACTTTGTCCTTCAAGAAAAAAACGTTCTGGAGATACTTTAAAAATGCAACGTAAGAGCCCGCTTTCATAATATGGAAGATCAGCAAAGATAACATACATGACCATATTCCTCAAGGTCTCCTTTTCCTTCCTCAAGTGTAACAAAATTCCCTGCTGGTGTCCTATGTAAAGATAGTCGGCCCTTTTTGGATCTTTTGTTGGGATCAGCAACGGGGTCCTTGAAGACATTAATCTGGAAGAAAGAGAAATAAAAGACTAATCAGGAATGTTATTCCCATTAAAGAACAAAGTTTATACAAAATTTATATATAAACCTAAGGCACTTTATTGGTATAACTAAACGAATCCACATCGGGCTTTTAGAAACAGAACTCTAGCCTCTGTTGGAAGACAGAGTCCTCTGTTAGGGAAAAGGGTTATGAAGTCTTGAATATCCTAACATTCCAGTATAGCACATGCAGGCTACTGGGAAAAGAAAACAAAAAAAACTATGTCAACTGTATTATATAATCTGTGGCAAGGGAACTAAGATTTTTACTAAGGTAAAGGCTTCCATTCCATACTCCATAACTTTTCCTTTTGTTACCTTTTACTTTATTCCTTGTTACTATGAAAAGCAAAGACCTAGAGAACCTGAGGAGAACACAAGGTTTGTTTAAAGAGCAGAAAGGTAGGAGGCCAACATAATAGAAGCAAGGAGTGAGAAGGTTCCAAAGACAGAGGTGAGGAAAGCAAGGAACCAACCCAGAACCCAGGTGTTCTGAAGAATTCTTAGTATCTCCCACTCCCACCTTTGGATCCATAGAGTCTCAAGAGCCTACGAAGACCCTTGTTGTTCAGCTGCCTGAAACAGGCAGCTTGGGGTCCCGTTCTAAGGCTATTAGAACAGGATTCTGGTATCACAACTCCCACTCCATGCTCCACCTTCCTAAAACACTGATGGTGCTTACACACCTGCTTATGTTTCATATATGATGGCTGGGTTAGCTGACATTCCCCTTCAAAATGGTAAACTTTTTGACTCTAATACTGAACGAGTGGGCAATGACTGGCCTGCATTACTTCTCAAATAATCATCTTCTTTTTCCTCCTTTCTCCATGTCATTTTTTTTTTTTTTACCTAAGATCTCTTTTCTTTCCTTGCTTTGAGTCAAGGTCAGTGGTAGCTGACAACATAGTTTAGGACATATCCTTTGACTACTGCATTCAGTAACTGCATTCTACCTGACACATAAAGGTACTAACACAAGAGTAAAAGTTGAAGGACATACCCCAAGGCCATTGGTTACAACATAGCTACACTTGAAGGAACAATTCAACAGATCTCTTGTTAACTTCTGTAGCAAAGCTCCACCAGAACCGAAAGCAATGTTTTCAATACTCCATTTTTTTTGCTTCATGCCTTCTACAATCTAGAAGATCAAAAAACACTTAAGTAATTTGAAAAAGGAAGGAGGTTATTTCCCCTGGGTCATAGTGATGAATAAAGTAAAACATCCTGGAGCCATTTTATAACACCATACACAGTGAAGGGTAAGGCCTACAGAGTTATGGTCCACATTTTCTCTTTTAAAAGACCTACCCACCTTCAAAAATGCCGGGCTGAGGTGTAAGTGCAGAAGGAGGATTTCATTCAGAGCTCCTGAATTTGTTGTGTTGTCACTGTGGCTGTGGTTAGGGTCGGGGGAATGAAGGAAATGAGGGAATGAGAAGTAACTGGTGATAAGACACGTAGGGTCTTGTGCCGGAAATCTACCTGAACACAAATGTGTCGACAACTGCCAGGGAGACAGTGGAGGACCACTCGTGTGTTTGCTCAGGAGAGCTGGGTTGTGTTCGGGGTGACCTCCTGGGGGTATGGCTGTGGAGTCAAGGATTCACCTAGTGAATTGTGTCTAACACAAAAGAGATTTTTGCCTCTTTACTGAAATAAGTGGATTCATTCTGGTACACAAAAACCCCAGAGTGGGGTTATACCATCAACTTCATGACATGTCACAGGGAAGACTGACCATGAAGAGCCAAGTTCAAAAGTGAGGCTGACAATGAGAGAAGTTTGAAGTTAAACAGATTTTTCATTGTGTCAAAATCAAGGCATCTATATGTAGGAAGCAAAACCATACGGTTCCTTTTCCTACTTCAGAAAACTTATTTTGAGCCCCCTCCAGGATGAAGAAAGCAGGTATTACCCTTTATGTAAACCAACACACAAGTGCATCTGCATTAACACAAACTGGCACTGGTGAAACCTTGGTCAGGGATGAATAAAGAGTACCTGTCTCAATATTTAACTCCTTGTTCGTAAAGTTAAAAAAAAAAAAAAAAGTTCAAGTTTTAAGCTGAGTCTCAACTTAAAAAAATGCACTTGCATTCTCAGCATTTAAAAAAAAAAAAAAAGGAAAGGAAACTTTGGTTTTTAAAGGGAAGTTCAAATACCTGACTGAACCACCTGACTTTTAAAGAGCTGAATGCCAGGTCTGAGCCATGAGAAGAGCTAATGGGTTTTCTGACAATGGCACAGGTCCCTGCCCATGATGTTTCATCTGAAAGAGGGAGAAATGTGGGTGACAGCACCTGCTAAACTGGCTAAAATGCAGGTATGGGTAACAGTTCTTAACTGATGATGAGGTAAGAAACCTTTACGTTAGCTAAGGAGACAACAGCTATTAAAAAAATGCCCGCTGAGATTTCTGTACTTAGGTCTTCCTCCTCATTGCGGACTTTATGCCTTCCTTCCTTCTCACATGGAAGCCCCTAATGTCCCAACACCAAATCACGTAGAGGAGTTTGGGGAGTTTCCACTTTTCTTAGGTAAAGCGGTTTGGGAGAGCTGGGTGGAAAAAACCTCATTTCTGTAATTGCAAGAGATCTATTCCAGAAACCTCATTCTGGAACTTTACATGCACATCACCACAGAAACACAGTTTGTTATATGCAATAGTTCTTTCTTTTATATGGATCTTTTGGAACACAAACTATTTACACTTTGAATACTGCCCTTACTCTCACCACACCAAATTCTTGCAAACAGAAAAATCCTTTAATAACTTGTGTTATGAAAATGGATACCATCTGAGGCTGATAGACGTTAAAATATCAGTGGTTTTACAATAGTAGTCTAAATTATAATATCAAATGATAGCCTTAATTTTTATGGAGTATTTTAGGTATTTGTTAAAATGAAATAATAACTCTTTAAAAGCTTATTTGGGGGAAAAAGAGGCAAAAGTTTTAAGATACTAGAACACTGTTTGGCTAAATCTAACAGTAACAGTGATAACAGTTAATGTTTAGAAGAGGTGATAAACCATTTTATACTTTTTAAGAAAGCATACATTAATACCATTCAAGTTTTATAATAAATTGTCAAGTATGTGCAGCTCCATTCCAATAAAACACACCTACTTAAGCAGTGTCAAAATGTTTTGTTTTATATACAAGGAAATGTTGTTTGGCATTTTGTTTCATGGTGACGCTTCTTCAGGCTCATCAAGGGTGCCCAATTAAGGACAGAGAGTAGTTAAGTGTGGTATGGCTGATACACCTAGACCTTAACTCACTAGTACAGCTGCCTGTTGAAACATGGGTTTGTTTGCACCAGTCCACTTATACACAGATTTTTTTTTGATAAATACAGTATAGTACTATAAATGTATTTTCTCTTCCTTACAATTTTCTTAATATTTTACCTAATATTTTTTCTAATAAAATATCTATTATATAATATATAATTATATAAAAAAATATTTCTTTTGTCTAGCTTACTAGGAATACAGTATATAATATAATACAGTACATAATACATATATACGTGTTAATCGACTGTTGAGTTATTGTAAGGCTTCTGGTCAATGGCATTCTTCTAGGAGTTAAGTTTTGGTAGAGTCAAAAGTTATACATGGATTTTTTGACTGTGTGGGATATAGGGGAGTGTCCATGACCCTAACCTCTGCGCTATTCAAGGGTCAACTGCGTTTATTACAAACTTTAAGCAATTAACAGAAAAGACATATGCTATCATTAACATTTATGAAAAGAATCACAACTATGTTTAAATCATTAATGTGCTATTTATCAAACCAATAAAGAGCTTAATTATAAGGGTTGCCTTATTGGAACTTTAATATAAAACACATACCTCTTGTAGAGTATTAATATCTACTCCATCCCCTTGAATAATTCTAAGATAAGGTGGTAGCAACTTGTAGCCCTTTGAGTTCTCAGTAATAGGGAACTTCTTACCCAGAATATCCAAAACCTGTAGGGGAAAATACACATACAACACAAAATAACAAACTCAAAAAAAGTGTGAAAAGGTTTCAAAGTTAAAAAAAAGGACTTTGCTGGGGCGCCTGGGTGGCTCAGTCCCACTCTTGGTTTCTGCTCTGGTCACGATCTCATGGTTCATGAGATTGACCCCACATCTGGAGAGAGAGTAATATTTACCATAGGGTTTTCACAGAGATTATATGACATAGCTTAAGTAAAGCACCTAACACAATATTTTTCTAGCAATAGGCATCAAATAACTTGTTCTTATTAATGATTTTTGAAGAAGGCAAACCAAGTCCTGAATACTAAAAAAACAAAACAACAATGCTCTACTGAGGATCAACAGTATCTCTAAAGAATCACTACCTGAAAAGTATTTTTGAATTATTTTTATTCCACATCACCTTCCACATATTTCTTTTGCACTAAAAACTTCAAAGATATAGCAATGACTTGTAGTAAAGAAAAAACACAAACTTGGTAACCAAAGCACAGGATTAATACTAATAATTTTCAAGGTAAGCAGAAAATATCTGTTCAATAGTATTATCTATTCAACAGTATATAAATAACCCAGAACTGTGGGTATCCTTTTTCTGTTATTAATGTGTGGCCTTGGACAAATTTATTACTCTCCCTGAGCTGCAACTCTAAAATAAGGGGCCTGGTCCAGAAATGGTCCAGAAATCGTTCTGAAATGCCATGTGCATAAATGAAACTACAACAGTATTGATACAGTGGGTCCACAGGCATTTTAATAATCAAGTTATGTATTAAAATTTACCTTTAATACAGTGTCCAGAGGATTTCCAGAATCAGGTCTGATTATTAGTGGTGCCTCTGTACTTCTTGACAGTATTAAATGTCTTAGATCTTCACCCCATATTTTTTCACATGCATTGTAAATGTCATAGCTATCGCTGACCACAGATACAGGCACTGATGAAAACTGTGTTACTATATGTTCAAAAGCATCTTTTTCACGGTCTTTCCCCCAAGCTGTTATGGTACTAGAAAACAAAATGAAAATACAGATTTACTTAGGCAGACACATTATTCCTAAATCATATCTGATGTACTATATACTTCTAATACCATCAACACTGCAATGAGATTTAGTTTACTGAATGCATGTGATAAGGATCATCGACTATTTGGGCCAAACCACCCCTTGGTTGATGTTTAATACTATAAGGAATCTTATTCCTGTCTCATAGTTATTTTAACTCCTATTTTCAACCAACTTTTTGTTTTTGTTTTTTTTGTATTCCTGAACCTACTCATTTAAAATCAGTTAACTAGGGGGTGCTTGGCTGGCACAGTTGGAAGCCTACAACTCTTGACCTCAGGGTTGAGTTTGAGCCCCACGCTGGATGTAGAGTTCACTTAAAAAATATAATAAAATTAGTTGACTAAAACAAGCAGCTACTGAATGCACTCTGTACATTATGCCAAGATGTGAGAAACAATGAACACATACTCCTGTTATTTTGCTACGTAACGCAAGGACTTGCTCCCTTCTGTGAGCTTTCAAAACCATATACCAATAATAGCAGGGACATACACTAGTCTTTTTTATCTTTAAAACTCTTATACTTAAAGGCAACTACTTAGGCAGTTATTTATACTATACCATACATACATACAGCCAACCAACCCTTTACCGGTTATATCTTCAAATGGCCAGTAACAGGCAGTCATTTATTTCATCTATAAAGTTAATATATGCCCAGGGAATGTAAGAATTTTAATACTTAGTTCGAGCAAAACACAATTATAATGGGAAATAAGATATGAGTTTCTATTAGGCAAAAACCGTTATAGTGATTTTCACAATGTCCTCAATAATGGTTCTTACTGAATAATTATTTGTAACAAGTACTTCTTGATTAATACAAATCATTTAAAAAATTCTTAAATAGGGACGCCTGGGTGGCGCAGTCGGTTAAGCGTCCGACTTCAGCCAGGTCACGATCTCGCGGTCCGTGAGTTCGAGCCCCGCGTCGGGCTCTGGGCTGATGGCTCAGAGCCTGGAGCCTGTTTCTGATTCTGTGTCTCCCTCTCTCTCTGCCCCTCCCCCGTTCATGCTCTGTCTCTCTCTGTCCCAAAAAAATAAATAAACGTTAAAAAAAAATTAAAAAAAAAATAAATAAAAAATTCTTAAATAGAATCTAATAATGAATTTGAAAAACTGTTACCAATTCCTCATGCCCAGCAATTTTTCCTTCTCCCTAGTTTTCTAGTCTTCTCCTCTACCCCATCCATTTTCCTAAGTAAAGTAATGGAAAGAGAGCCCATTTCACTTATTATATAACCCCATGTAGGTATAAGTTTATCTCAGAACTGTTTGAAGAGTCATACTAATTTATATTTGAAACTGTCATTTTATTATTTTTTTTCCTAAAGGACTGGGGTAGACTATTTTCCCTTGCTGTCAATGATACACTGATGATAACAGAGCATGTACACTTCAGGGTTATAAAGAGCCAGCTACCCAGAGACTACTCTTATCTGAAACAGAGAGATAGTCTATTTACATAAAACTCATTTTAGAGTGAACACTCTTCTTAACTCCAGAGGCTGCTAGTAGTTATGATGCCAACTCCCGACTTCATGCCAACATCTGCAGGCTGAAGGGAAAATTCAGATGCAAAAAAAACCCCCTTCATGTCAACTACTATTGTCCTCTTAATAAGGATGGAGAGAATTAAGCTCAATACCGATGCCAGAGAGCTTTGTAATGTAATAATGACCTCCTACAGGTAGAGCTCCTTGACTACACAGTTCTGTTTTACCAGCAATGCACTGATACAGTCATCTAACTCTGCTGTTTGTATTATCTAGCAAAGTTCATTTTCAGTCTTTACCTTACTTCCTTTCTCTGGCACTTGAACTTTCCTTTTCCATGACTTCAGTGACCTCTCTCTCATTTTCATGTATTTATTTTTTCCTATTTCTATGGTTCCTTTACAGTCCCCCTCAGAGGTCATGTTCTCCTTCAATTCAACATAGGCTCTGACCTGCACACGTGCTTTCCTCTATACAACTCCCTGTGTGAAAAATATTCAAGGCTTTTAAAAAATCCCCTCATGGTAAGGGTTTCCAGAATCTGTCCCTTAGTCCAGGTTTTTCTTCTGGACTCCAGATCTACTTGTTAGGCAGGGAGATGATTACCTTTATTACGTCATCATCCTCGAGACACTTCCTGCAGCACCCTCTCTACATAATCCAATCATAACACCTGTTCTTCCGATGATAGTATATGGAGCTCATAAGTATTTGTTCAATGAATTCTCCTAATGCTATTATTCTAACTTCCAGCATCAAATCGATACCTTTCCAAAGTTTGAGGGAAAGGTTACACAATAGCATATTTCTTTTTTTTCTCAATTTCTATTGATTTATTTTTGTTTTACTTATATAGTTTAACAAGGCAGTTTTACATAAGCTCACATCAACCACAGAATGTAAGCACTTAACCACATGATGTACAATTTTAAATTGGGTTCCATATTAAATAGTCTAATGTCTCTCTCAAATTTTTTGGTCAACCAAACTCTCCCCACATCTTTGGGTTCAGTGTTGTTTTTTTTTTTTTTTTAACATATGCTTGGCTTTGCTTTACACAATCTCAGAATAAGTAAATCAGGAATATGAAAACCCCACTATATGAATAGAAATAATCTGAGTATGTGAACTGGTAGAACATTGGGAAGAAAACAGAAAAGTTGTGTTAAAACAATGACAGTGGCATATTTCTAAGTCCAGATTCATACATTCCTTAAGAAAATATTTATAACCATAATGGCAATGCTCTAAACTTTAGAGTTCTCTTATTTTGAAGTTTTTAATTTTTTTTATTTTAGAGAGAGAGTGTGAGGAGGGGGAAGGAGGAGGGGGGAGGGAGAAGGAGAGGGAATCTTAAGCAGGCTCCACATTTTTCAGCACCCAGCCTGATGCCAGGTTTGATCCCACCACCGTGGGATCACGACCTGAGCCTAAATCAAGAGGTGGACACTCAACTGCTGAGCCACCCAGGTGGCCAAGTGATTTTAGATGTTAGCTCATTTATCCTTAATGACCTTCTGATGTTGGAGACATTAAATTTTAGCTCTTCCTTTTGTCTGGCTGGATGGAGGAACAGAGGAAGAGAGGGAAGTGACTTGCCCAAGGCCACCCAGAATGTCAGCTGTAGGGTCACTAGGTCACTCAGGTTTCCCACCTTTGAGTTCCAAGCTCTTTTCACTATACCATGTATTGTTTAAAAGACTTTTCTATTTAAGAACATCTGAAATATTTTTATATATTAAAGAGTAAATTTTACAAATGTAGTAAATACTACTGTGAGACTTTGAAATGGATTTCACCCTGTTTTAACATGAAAATCCTAAAGAAGATACCTTTCTTCTCAGATTCATACTCGTGATATTACTACTGTGAAGCAAAACCATCAGTAAGAGTCTAATATATGGATATTACTTAAGTCCAAAATAAAAATACTGTAACTGTAGAACCAATATCCTTGTGTTCCGACTCTGATGAGTCTCGACTGTCAGAATCCTTAACAAGGGCCCTACTGATACAGCAAGGCTCATAAATATTAGCGGAATCTACCCTCCGCCAGCTCCAATCCGAATCCTCAAGTTCTATCAACTTTGTCTCCTAAGCCATTGCCTGTGTTTAGCCACTTCTTAACATTCACTGAGCCACTTCGTTCTGAACCTTTGTGCATCTCTTCAAATTGTTAGAACAGCTTCCTCTTCAGCCTCCTAATTTCTTATTTCTCTTTTTATCAATTCATAATATATCCTATCAAAACAACCATCCTAAAATATTTCTCTGATGCCAAAGCTGCTTACGCTCAAAACTTCGATGCCCACTCCCATTTTTTTTTTTTTCAACGTTTATTTATTTTTGTGACAGAGAGAGACAGAGCATGAATGGGGGAGGGGCAGAGAGAGAGGGAGACACAGAATCGGAAACAGGCTCCAGGCTCTGAGCCATCAGCCCAGAGTCCGACGCGGGGTTCGAACTCACGGACCGCGAGATCGTGACCTGGCTGAAGTCGGACGCTTAACCGACTGCGCCACCCAGGCGCCCGCCCACTCCCATTTAAAAAAGGAATTAGAATAACCTTGCATGATGTGCACATAGTTAACATTCAATGTCAAGATGAATTTAAGGGCATTTACAGGTTAACCTGTCTTCTGAGTCTAACCCATGTTCCCTACAAAATCTGTTTCAGCCCTTATTCCCAAAGCACAGTCACTCTCCTCTTTCATTCTTGCTCTTTCAAGACAATGTTGGATGTGTGGTAGGCACGCAAAAACGATTTACTCAGAATGATTGCTCGCTCATGTCTCCCATTAGATTTAACTATTCTTTCAAGAAATGAAGATTTCATATACTGTCTCTGTAAAACTTTCTCGGTACTGCCAGGAAGAGAACATCTTTCCTTTCTTTCCCTTGCACACTAGAGCACTTTAACACCTTAAAAGTACTTAATCAACAGAGCAGAGTGTTTGTAGTGTATTATTTTTATACTGAACATAGGGTCAGTTTTTTATATCTTCCTATCCCTTTTAGCACCCAGTAGATTGCCTTGGATAAAAGCTCAGCTTTATTTTAAAACTCACTGCTGGTTTTAGAACCCTGCAAGATCCAAGTATGAGCAGAACTTACTAAACTTTCCCAAACTCATTACTGTAAGTATTTTTTGCTATTAAGAACCAGAAATCAGGCTGTCGTACACTGTAAAAACTCCACTGCCTTCCGACAAAGTTATCACTAGGAGCAGGGCAGCCGCAGCCCCTAGTTTAACTTGAGATGTTTAGTAACGTCACATAAGGAAGCGTAAGAAGGATATGAACTCTCTTCCTTTCATCAAAAGGCCTTACTAGCTTTTCTACAATTGAGGGCACTGGGTCCAAGCGACAGCTTCCAGGGTAAGGTTACGCGAGGTCATGTAGAAAAGCAGGAAAAGGGAAAAAGTGACCAAGTTTTACAGTGAGTGCCTCTAGATTTAACACATGAAACCTATCTGCCTATGGCAATAGAGCAGTTGAAAAAGTCCCTAAAATAAAACTTACATGGGAATGTGAGAGTTGAAAGCAAGCTCTTAAATTGTTTTCATGAGGATGGTTCAAAGTTCTCTACCTCGCTGATACTAGTCCTTATGCCTAGTATAAATGCTAAGTTTGTATGGCTTAAATTCATGAGGATTTACTGTAGTACCTGGCTCTGAAATTAAGCAAAATATCATTGAATTACCAATACAAGAGTGAAAAAAAATCATTTCAGAAAACAAATGTTTAGATAATAGGCAGATGAAGACAGAATTTTACCTGTGTTCTGCTGCTGGAACAGAATAGCCTGGAACAGGATCTTTCGTTCCATAGTATTTTTTAACAAAAGCAATTCCTGCTACTGTGTCTGTTCCTTTGAAGTTAACCAAATGAGCAGACGCTCCTATGCCAGCAGTCTGGAAAATAAACCATAAACCAAAATCCAAAAAAGAAAAAGACCCATACTTTGAGGTATAAAGCAGCATAGCTCTCAAAGGAATATCTGTCTTCAGATATTCTCAGAGGTACCATTATCAGACATAATAGTTCCTTATGGCAAAGATCAAGTTTTTCCTAAATATTTAAAAAGTCAACTGTTGCCTCCTCAAAGAAACCTACCAATAATGACCCACCCCCCCTTTTCCACCAGCCTCTTTTCCCTTACCCTGTGCCTTGTGCTTCTCTGTAGCATTATCTGACATCTGCTATATTTATTATAATATGTAACACTTAAGTCTGTCTGTCCATCCATCATCCATCTAATATAGAAAGGACAGGGACATTTGCTGAAAGCTTTATTCCAGGTACTCTGAACAGAAGCTAACACATAGTAGGTACTTTATATATATATAAATATATATATTATATATATATATATAAATACATATAAATATATAAATATATTTATAAATATATAATTTATAACATATAATATATAATAAATATATAATATAAAATATATAAATTATAAATTAAAATTTATAAACAAATATATATTATATATATGTGTATATATATAAATATATAAATATATATATATTGACTGAATCTCTGGAATTTCAAAATGTAGCCTGCTCAGAACCAAGGTCACTATCAATAATTCCCCCCAAATTTATAATGGTAATCTAACCAACAAACCACATTTTATTAAATGAAGTGCACTTCATACTTCCATACCTCTTGGGAAGAAACTCCTCTGTAGCCAAAATCATGTAACTTATACTCCAGACCATCTAAGTTACCAGAGGTTTCCAGCAAATAGTTGGCCAATATTTTCTTCTGCTCTCTAGAATTTGTGGCCACTGTGATTGGATACCAGGACTGAACAAGAATAGTCTGTAGTGATAAAATCAATCACAAATATTAGAACATAAAATGCTGAGTTTTTCTGAGGAAACTCCCTGCTTTCTCTGGAGGTATGTCCTAGACCTCCATACTACTGGAAATACTAGTGAGACGTCTCAACTGTACTGCAGGATGCCTACCACGTGCATTCCAGATAGAGTGCATAGCTCAGTTCTCAGATCAGCAACACAAAGGATAAGCACAGCAGGACCTTAACAGTAGAGAACATCAGATTACCTAGTTTCTATCCAAAGTGCCACAAAGCAAATAATATTACACTCATACTTGGATGTTGAGGCAATTAGCATAAAAGTTTCTTTAAAAACATTTTTTTTTAAGTTTATTTTTATTTTTGAGAGAAAGCACGAGTCAGGGAGGGGCAGAGAGAGAGGGAGACAGAGAATCCCAAGCAGACTCTGTACTGTCAGTGCAGAGCCCGACTCGGGGCTCACACCCACAAATGGTGAGATCATGACCTGAGCCGAAATCAAGATCCGGACACCCAACCAACTGAGCCACCTGAGTGACCCACCGTAGAAGTTTCTAAGTAAGTTAGGCTATCTTCAATTTCTTTACTTGATGTGGACCTGCATCAAACAGTTTATGCAGCAGCACGGGAATACACCTTGAATGGTGTATTGGGTCTAAAGAAGTTACTCATTTACTCCTCTTTATAGTCTTGGACCTAATTTTTCTTAGATCTATTATGACTACTGGTAGGTTATTTAGTTCAGATATACTTTTGCTTAGCACTAGAGAATTCTATTAACTGAGTTATGCTTTACATCCTTGGCTTTTAGCAAGTCATTTTCAGAAAGTCACATGAGGGGCGCCTGGGTGGCTCAGTCGGTTGAGCGTCCGACTTTGGCTCAGGTCATGATCTCGCGGTCTGTGAGTTCGAGCCCCACATCGGGCTCTGTGCTGACAGCTCAGAGCCTGGAGCCTGCTTCAGATTCTGTGTGTGTGTCTCTCTCTCTCTGTCCCTCACCCACTCATGCTCTGTCTCTCTGTCTCAGAAATAAACATTAAAAAAAAAAAAAATTAAAAAAAAAAGTCACATGAAACATTTCTGCATGTGCTGTAAAACTGTGAGATCACCATCTATTTTACAATTCTTTTTAATAGCAAAAAGGTTTTGTTTTGCTTTTTGGTTGGAAGAAATGGTTAAGTTTAGCTCAATACGTTCATTCCTCAGCCCCTTTGTAAGTCTGAGACACCTTTGCAAAACCTTTAGGCTCTTTTAAACAGGTTTTGAAATCTGACTTGAGAATTAAGGTTTCTTTGAGCACCAGTATTGATATTGCTAAAGCAATCCAATAATTTTAGTGGGTTTTAAAATTCAGTGTATGGTGAGTAACAATCAAAGGATATTATTAGTAACTTTGAACATACACTGGGAGAGGTTACTGGAAGGAACACTATTTAGGACTATTATTTAAAATGTTTCAAAACAAGGGTTGCCTGAAGAACAACTTTAAGTTTGTAAATAACAAGTTTGTTGGACTTGGTAACAGATTTCATATACATGGTGGTAAACTTGGGCTGGGGATGGATAAGATTAGGATAAACCTTCTCTAACCCTCACAACAGAAACCCACAAAGGATGCAAAGTTACTCTGAAAAAGTCTCTTCTGGAGACTTGGTATCTAGTGTAAACACAATTTTTTTATAAAACACAGGATCTGTCAGAAACTAAAACAGGGATTGTGTCAGACCATAAACAACTGTGGCTTAGATAAAAATACCTGGCAAGGACTGAAGTTATTTAAAATCATATATAGTAGTAGAATAGAAGGTAAATTTGATGGAAGTTCTGTTGCAGAAGCAAATAAAAACACGTACCTATGTATGTTTTTTCCCTTCAAAAGCCAGCACTCCCACACTGGATTTTACTTTAAAAAATTTTTATTTTAAATTTTTTTAAGTTTATTTATTTTGATAGAGAACAGAGGAGGGGCAGAGAGAGTGGGGGAGAGAGAACAGGATCCCAAATGGGCTTTGCACTATCAGTGGGACTCGATCTCACAAAGTCTGAGCCAAAATCAAGAGCTGGACACTCAACTGAGCCACGCAGGCACCCCACATTTAAAAGTGGTATTTCTTTATTTGCTAACAAACTACTCCTCTAAGGGGTCTATATATAAAATTTTTTAACTTTATGTTTTAGTGAAATACACCAAAATAATGATTATGACAACAGGTTTTTGGTGGTGGTTGTTTTCAAAGGCTGGTGTTTTTTTCACCTTCTGAAGATAAAGAAAAACATACATGAAGCAGGTGAACTGGGAACTAGTCCTCCATAAATGTCTGCTCTATGGGAATTCCATCAAACACAGGGAAAAGTACTTCTTGACTAAACCCTCAATCAGAAAACAGAAAAAAGTGATGATGATTTTCAAAATAAGGTTTATCTGTTTGGGCTCTTCTGGCATTGAAGGTAAAAGGATATACGGGTAGACAAGATGTTGTGGTTAAGAACGCTTACTCTTATGTTTTTAATAATACCATCCTCTTAAAATCACATATTTCCCAGTACAAATACTGTAACACCTGTACAAAAACTAGTAAGTTTTCTTTTGAGTTCACAGTTAATTCAAAGTTTTAAGACACAGCAGTAAACCATTTAAAATCATTATTTCGGTTAATTGAACATTTTTTTCTGGGCCTATTAGCCTACAAGTTAATGTCCCATAAAGAGAAGTTTTAAATTTTCTGTCAACTTAGAAATTGTATTTCAAACATATTCTTGGACCTCTTAATTCCCCTAAATTTTCTAGTCCTTATTAATAACCTCAAATGTATTATTTTACAGTACAACAAATTAGCTTAATAAACTAATTAAGATAAAGAATCCGTTCTAAGCACTAAGTAAAAAACACCTCTCAGATAGAAAAGTGGTATTTCTATAGTCACTTTCTAGACTATTTCCTCTAATAGATAAAATCTAAACCGAACTGTTGAGAAGCTAACTAGGTTATTTATGTAAATAATATCAAAACTATGAGCACGTCAAGACAGGACTGCTTGGGTCCAAATGAAAGGAAAACAAATAAAAAGCCTTGCAATATAAACTCAGAGTCTATTATGTAGCCTCCTTTTTGGACTTAATGATCAGCAAGTGTTGAGTGTGTTTAGATGAGACATATCAGGTGGTAAAGCCAGCCTCAGCTCTAAGATTAGATAATGAAGAAAGCTGTTAAAAATCTGAACAAAATTCCCTTTGTATAATTAGAACAGAATATCCGCAAAATATCTTAAATCACTAAAAATATACCTGTGCTGTTTTTCTCAGTTTTTTCTATGACAACATAGATTTCAGATTGCAACAAACGAGACGGAAGCCAAATGAGCCTTACCGGTACTAGTTCTTAATAATTTCACACAGATAAAGTCTTAGAATGTTAGATTTTGCTGGAAGGAACCTTAAAGATTATTTAGTTCAACTGTCATTTTTTTAAATGAGGAAACTAAGGCCTGGAAAGATTTAGTAAATTGTAGATTACACAGCTTTATCAGCAGCAATTTTAAAACTAGAATCCCAGCTGAATGGTTTTTACATCTTCAATTGTTTTTTTTTTTTTCAATATATGAAGTTTATTGTCAAATTGGTTTCCATAAAACACCCAGTGCTCATCCCAAAAGGTGCCCTCCTCAATGCCCATCACCCACCCTCCCCTCCCTCCCACCCCCCATCAACCCTCAGTTTGTTCTCAGTTTTTAAGAGTCTTTTATGCTTTGGCTCTCTTCCACTCTAACCTTTTTTTTTTTTTTCCTTCCCCTCCCCCATGGGTTTCTGTTAAGTTTCTCAGGATCCACATAAGAGTGAAAACATATGGTATCTGTCAATTAATGTTAAATAAAAATTAAAAACAAAACAAAACAATTCACCTCGATCCAATTTGTAAGCCAGTAACACTCTGGATCTGTGTTTTCCACTGTGAAGAGAACATTTCCTCGGGGAATGACATAGCCCTCAGGAACAGCTTTTATTTCTATTGGAAGATGTCCATCATATTTCTGGTAAAAGACAATACTGAAATTATTCATTTAGCAAATGATAATCAGATACCTGCTTTATTAGGGTCTTCATATTTTACAGAAGCTAAACTTACTCTCACAGAAACTGCAATTGTACATGTTATTATATTGCTAGTAATATCCTCATTCTCTTAAAATTAGCTAAGATGATTAACAGTTTAGACACCGACATTAATTTTTACATTTTATGTAGTCCAAGTACTTCTGCTAAGAACATTTCTACCAGAAGATAGAGATAATCTCAAACTGGTCAAAACAAAAAAGTTGTTTCTTCTCAAGATTTCAAAAAAAAAGAAGAGTTTATTCCAACATATTCCAAAAATTTTCCAAGAACACTCCTTCTTCTAAGTCGCCATTTTCGTAAAACAAAAGCTAAATACTAAAAGATAAAATAAGGGACTACTATTAAAGAGCAACATGAATAAAATAATGTCAAACAAAAAAAGGAAAAAAAAGAGAGGTCCCTGACAGTACAAGAACCTTAAGCAGATTTTCCCTTTATTCTGGTAGTAGACCTGAAACTGTTTTCGTAGAGTGGATAGACTAATCATTAAGTATACTTTCTAGAGCTTTGGCAATGAATATCCAAGTACAACAATTCTCTCCAAAACTAGGCTGCAACATATTTGCTACAGACTATGTGATCAGATATTTAATTACGCCTCCCTTCTTTTAAAGGTAAGGGCTGTGGCTACATTTTGGCTAGGAAGGCAAATTATTTCAGAAATCCTAGTAGTTTTTATGTGATTTGGGACAGGTAAATAGATAAAAGAAAAGTCTGTTTAATGAGAAGCACTGGAAGTCTCATGATACAGCAGAAAGAATACTGCCTTAGAAATCCCAGCTCGGACTCAACAATCTGGACTCAGACTGTGGGCAAGTCATTCAACATTTCTCGTCTCAGACTATTCTTCCAACAGGGTTAGATAAGACCATCTCTAGGTTAGATCCCTACGATTCTCTGAACATAAAAAAATCAAAAGATTTATCACCCTGGCTACTGGGAATTATATATAGCCTAACACTTATCTATTCCTATTCTCTTCCCAACAAACCAAATAGGGTAAGTGCAGGAATTAGCCCCCAGATTTTACTGACCTTACTTAAGATATGAGGAAATTATACCACAGAGTGCTTACTTGACTTCTTCCAAGACCCATAAGTAAAAAATAGTAAAACTCAGTATGACAACATAGGCCTGAAAGTTAAAGTATTTCTAATTATTTTGTTGATGGTAGTCTACAATGGAAAAGACATTTGTTTTTAAGATATAAATGAATTAACACTTAACGCGCCAAGATGCCTAAAGATCCCATTCCCAACCTATCTTCGTAATAATCACCACCATTCAATTCTTCTAACTCAATTCCCGTATCTTTAGATGCTCAAAATTAAGTAACTGATTCAAACATGCTAGGTATTAATATCATAGTACAATAAAGAATGAAAGCCAACTTTATGGATCTACACCAAACCATTCCAATTATTCAGTAAGGGAAATTTCCTAGAAGTACTGGGTAATGATAGACTCACTGCATCTATTGTCTTAGATAAGCTACAGCCAAGAAAATAGACCAAAATTTCAAAATTGCCAAATAATGATGCTCCTTCCTAATATTTTCAAAGAAAAGAGGAAATCACCTTTCTGAAAAACACTATCTAAATTATCATTTGTTTATATTACAACAAATTACTGAGACCTGCTATAGATTCTATATACTAATTATTTGCCACCATAAAAAAATATTTAAATGTTACCCTTAACTTTTCCCAAGAACGTCTAAAATAACTCTTAAATTTGGGCCAGACAGAAAAAAGTTGTAATTATAGAACAGTCTTCTATTCAAATTCCTTTGTAAGAAATTTTGAACTGAAAGAAAAACCAAAGTAGAGCAAAACATTAAAAACATTTTTTACCTCAAGAATGTAGTTCCATCCCTTTTCATTAAAGACATCATCCTGGAAATGCTCTCTGTACACCTCTTTGGCTTCCTGGATCTTCTCTTTGGTCACAACTTTACCTAAAAGGACAAACGTTTCCTGTTTACATTTCTAAAGGCATTCTATGAATTGCTGAGTTGTGGTAGGATTCATGTCTCTACCTATTTCACCATTCTGTGGATAAAAAAACAAGAACTGAGAGATTAAATGATCACCCAGAGTCAACAGCAGAGCCAGAAATGGAATCTGCACTTCTGATCACTCACCCTATGTTAATTTCCAGTTTGAAAAACAGGTGTGCAGAAGCAACTATTACACAGAGTATTTTTTTTTTTTTCTTAATCCCAGGAATAAGTTAACTTCTAAGACGTGTTTTTTCTCTCACTATTAATTTAAATACTCTTGAAATTTGATACAGATAATTTTCCAGGTGAATCTTTTTGCTTTATTCATAAAGGATGTCTTCAGGGATGATAATCCAATAATTTTCACAATGACTAAGTTTAAGTTTTTGCTCCTCAAGTACACTTTTAGTTATCTTTATCTGTAAAATTAGGGTAATAGTAGAGTACCCACTCACAGGATGATTGTGAGGACTGAGTTAAGACAGAGGAAGCATTTAGCATAATGCTGGCCTGTAATAGGTAGTCAGTATATTTTAGGTATAATTAATAATGTCATTTGTATCAAGTTTTTAAGCTGTAAAACTGAAGTGTGACATCAGTCTTAAAAATTTGTCAAGACCATGGAAAATTTTCAGTTTTTATCTGTGTAAAATTCAACTTAATCTGTATTCAATTCTGAGATTATTTTTGTTTCAAAAGGTCAGAGATGAAATTTTCCAAAAATGTATAAAACTTTTGGGAACTGTTTCCCCCCCCACCGTCCTTGAAATACCATTATAAAACAAACTAGAAATGGACTTTCAAATAAAACTGCACAGAAATTATTTTGGGGGTTTTCCATTTTAAAATACATTTGAGACTAAGGCCGCAGCATCAGGTAGTTCTGAAAAATAGGCCTTTAAGATAAAAATGACTATGATAAAAATATTCTAATTGCTACCATGATTCAAAATGAGTTCCCAGGTCAATAATGAATCCTCTACTGTGAATTAAGGACTTAAAATCTATTAACATACCAGATTAGCCTCAGAAAATTACTGACTTTTCTAAACTTATTCCCAAGTTTATTAGTTTCAGAAAACCTTTCTCATATTTAGAACCAATCATATACCAAATTATAAGATTTATGTGTTCAAATTAACACATTTTTTACAATTCAAAAAAAAACCCTAAAATAGTCAAAATAATTTAGTAAATATCAAAATTAAACTGTTCAATGAGTTCCTTTAAATTAAGAATATAACAATATAGGAGAAAAATTATAAAGAGCTACATAAAAGCAGTGTTTGAAATGTACTAGGAAAAATAATACCTTTTAAGTACTTATTAAGAATGTACTGCAACCCATAAAATACTGTTTCCTCGTATTTCACCTTCTTTATTTTTGAGTTTTCTGTCTTCTTTTCACGGCATTCAAAGTAGGAATAAACTTTGCTGGTATTGGGTGGGTACTGTTTATAGTGAGTAACCTAAAGGCGAAAGCAATACTTGAGTTAGAAAACGTTCGAATAGAATAGAAATCATGACTGAAAGGGCTTGAAATTATTTAAAACCAAAGAAACTAAACTTATTTGCTATTCATCAGCTTCTTTTCCTGGCTGTAAAGAATAAAAAATAAGTATCATACTTATTAGGATACTTTTAATGTTCACTATCTTACTTTGAAAACCACAGGAGAGTATTAACTTTTATAAACAAATCAAATGAACTTAAGGAAGTACGAGGCTTCTAAGCTGGACAGGCACTTGAAAATAAAGTTTGAAGAAAGTTATCTCATTTGATCTTGGGGAATGGTCTTCCTCCAGGGGAAGAGAGACGTAGCTGCCTGGCAGGGGCATAACCAGGATATAAAAGAACGTACTGGAAGAGTGTGGTACTGTTACTATCTAAATGTGGTATGTTTGAGAAGTCAATAGGCAATGCTTCCCATGACTCGACTTCTTCATCTGTACAGCCAGGTAGGGAGAATGACTCCGATCTTCACAATAACACATGGAACCTGGATGAAAGCAACAGCAGGAGAAAACATATCTTGTTTCATAGTACTACTTGTTCTCCAATTACCACCAAATTGGGAAATAAGTCTATCCAATGCAACAGCAAATCCTTAGGAGCGTAAAAATAAGTATTATAAATTTTTCCAAAAATATGGGTAAGAGTCATTGTTGAAAGTTAATCTTTGTTTTAAGAAAAAAGTGAGTTCGTTATAGTTGGATTTTTTTTTTAATATTTTAATGTGGTTAAAACATTTTACCGATAGAAAATAACTGGGAGAATAATGTGTATTTGCTCTGTTGTAACATTAGGAATGGTCATGTCCTAAAACTTAAGGTACAGGGTGGTAAGGTAGGTCATGGTGGAATAATCTTTGCAGCACAAGTTTCATGAATGACCACTGTGACATGAACCATGGTTCCTGGTTAGCTCTGATCCTCAGTTTAGGGAAACCAATGCTTTCCTTGTTTGGTTGCACAATCTTAATCCCAATGAAACTTGGCTTTAACCTTTGTAGCTTAGCACAAAAATTCTAAGATGAATATAGTCTATATAGAGAGCAAAAGAAAAAAAGATCACAAATGTTTAATGTTTCTGCTCCAACAGAAGCAACTTGTCACTGTATGAAAACAGCACCTGTACGCTGCTTGAAGGCAACTGGGTGGTCAATTTTAAACCTAGAGGTACTACACCAGGGTTTTTTTTCAAGGTTAGAACCTGGAGACTGATACCACTGGAGGCTGAAGTAGCAGCTTAGTGAAATAGCTAAAGCCAAACCCAAAGCAGTTAAATCTTCAAGCCGATTCACTAAAATGCAAAAACAACATTTATATACGTATGAATGATACCCTATTTCAACTGATTAGAAAAAGAGAACACTATCTAAAAACATACCCAAGAAGTACATAAAAATGAAAATGCCCAGTTTACAATCTAAATAACTCTTAACTCCTTTAGTGGGAATAAGCAGTGAGGTAGAAGAAAAGTCAACTATGATGAAGTAAAAATTGAAGGAAGGTCTGGATCACATCATGCAAGTTTATAAAAGCCAGATTCATAGTTGTGACTCTCAGTAGTTAGCCTGACCTTTTACAGTTCAGATACTCAAAGGTACATCTTTATAAATTTACTTTTTCTACATCAAATTTAAAAGTATGAGAAGGTAAATGAATCTTCTGAGTAGACCAAACAGTTAAAAGCTGAATGGAAATGTCCCTAAAGCATTTAACTCTCCTCTTTGGTCTAAAAGTATACTAAAATTTTTCGATCAGACAAATAGAGTCCCAGTTCTGGCCAATAACTGAACATGTTTATAATTTTAAAGCTTTACTTCTGCCATGTTTTTTAATTATGGTACTTAAAACCTTAGCACAGGGGCACCTGCATGGTTCAGTCATTTAAGTGTCCGATTCTTGATTTTGGCTCAGGTCATGATCTCACGGGTTAGTGAGATCGAGCCCTGCATTGGACTCCATGCTAACAGCATGGAGCCTGTTTGGGATTCTCTTTCCCTCTCTCTGTCCCTCCCCTGCTTGTGCACACTTGCTCTTTCTCTCTCTCAAACAAACGTTAAAATAAACATCTTCTTTGGACAGCTTTAGAGAACTGTTCTGCAGTTCTCTAGGTTTAAGAACTGAACTGCTAAAGCAGCTAATTCTCAGGTAATTAACCATGAAATCTAATTTACCATTAACCACCTACCAATGAACACCCAATACATTTATAGAAAAAAACAGTATAGTTAGATATATTTGTATTGGCTTATACCATTGTTTAAATCGGGGAAATTTTTAAACCGAGCTTCTTAGTAAATACTATTCTTTCTACAAATACAGCCAAAAGATGATTTACAATGATTCTAGTTCTGGTAGGTTTACTATCCTCTTCATTTTACTTTCTGCTAAGCTGGTCTCTCTGAACCTGGGAACCTTCAGAAAATGAGATGATACAGGCAGAAAATCAAATTAATTAATTGTTATTTTATAAATAGTTCATTCACAAATATACATCCTGTGTCCACTATGTATCAGGCACTGTTTCAGATTCTGAGGATGGGGAAATAAAATGGACTGAGACAGTTTCTATTCTCAAAGGGCTAATGAGGGCTGAAAGGTCAGAGAAAACCAATATATAAACACCATAATTTCAGATACAGATGGAGGTTTGGAAACTTAAAAGAAAATGATAGGCCAAAGGGGGCCTGAGAGACTGCTGTAAATAGGGGGCCAGGAAGGCTTCTCCAAGATGGTGACATGTGACGTACACAACAAGGAGATGGAAGACACACTGACGTAAGGGACAGGACACGATGAAGGCCAGCATGGCTGGTTCTTAGAGGTGCAGAGAAGGAGGAAGTACATACATGGTAAGGTCAGAGAGATGCACAGACACGATCACGTAAGGCTTACAGACAACAACGAGGAGCTTGAATTTTACATCAAGTGCAATAGAAAGCCACTAGATGTTTTAAGCTGGAATGAATATAATCTGATTCATATTTTATAAGGATCAGCTGGACAGTGAGGTGGATAATGGATTACAAGGTGACCAAAGAGGAAGCAGGACCATCAGGTAAAAGATTACTACACCAAAGACTAGCTTAGGTGAGAGCAGTGGCTCATCTGGAGGTAAAGGAGAATTAGGCTAAAACACTAGATGTGGGGGTAATAAGGGGGAGGGATTAGCACTGTTTCCTACATTTTTGGCTTGAGCAACTGGGTGAATAAGGGTGCCGTTTACGGAGATGGGAAAGGCTGTGGAAGGAATGGATTAGAGCTGTTTTAAATATGTCATGTAATGCTAACAAAGTCTCACAGTATTCAAAATTAAACTACACAAAAGAAGCTCTAAAATCACGTTGGTTTTCTTAGCACTACTTTAGCTTCCATCAATAGGAAAAATGGTTCTATAGTAAACTTAACATTTTTTATAAGATGAGAATAGCTAATTTCTCATAATATCCCCAGCAAACCTTACTCCTAAAAATGTTTCCTAAACTAGCATGATTTTCCTACAGCTAATAGAGCACTACCAGTACATAAATACATGTGTGGTAAAGAACACAGGCACACAAGAAAATGTAGTTCTTTTAACAGAACCTAATTTCACAGTCATGTGAGTGATTTACTTCATGAAAAGCTTCTAAAAATTATAATCGCTAGGGTAAATATCCTTGTCCCAAGTATGACATTTAAAGAGAAATATGAGAAATATTTAAGTTGCATAGAATCTTTCTGTGAGAGCAGACTCTTAACTTTTTCCTGATCTTCTCCAGATTTTCCATAAAGGCGATTTGGTGTCTTTTCAAGAGGTTTCCTCTCATAATGGGATCACATGTCCAAAGGCAATCACTACTAACCTACTTTACCAGTTATAATTTTAACAGCTAAGTAATTATCATAAGCCAACATTTTAACAATACCACGTGTATATAAGAGCACATGGGGTAACATGTATAATGCCACAGAATAAGTTTTACTATCTCCAAAATTTATAAGGGCACTCAGAAGAGGATCCACTCAGCCTTACAATGAATGGCTAAAACTTTATGTCTCTTCAATGCTACTGTGCTTAAAATAGCAAAAATCAATCAATCAATCAATCAATCAATAAATCTTCTTTTCAACATTTTTAAAAATTTCTCAAGTCCTGGAAATACTTCTGTTGCCACAGAAAATAATTCTTTGCTATTTGGCTTTTGAAGCGATAATAACTTCAAAAATATGGCTTAAAAATATTTGGATTACATTTTGGGGGAGAGAGGAAATTGTCAAATCAGTTATAATCACACTACCCCTTTTTTGGCACAAAGCGTTTGATAATTTGTACTTTTTTGGCTGCACCCTTGAAAAAGATTTAATCAACTGACAAAGAGGACACCAGCTTCTGGTATCTTTGTTTTGCAAAATCTTACAAAACTTTACTGATCTAAGTTAATCTTCCTCAGAACTATATTCATGACTTACATACAAGATTTTATTTCTATTGCCTGGGCTTTTCCTATAACTTATAGTATAAACCTTACTGGAAAACTGCATTGTAAGAATGCACAGGTTGGGGCGCCTGGGTGGCGCAGTCGGTTAAGCGTCCGACTTCAGCCAGGTCACGATCTCGCGGTCCAGGAGTTTGAGCCCCGCGTCGGGCTCTGGGCTGATGGCTCAGAGCCTGGAGCCTGTTTCCGATTCTGTGTCTCCCTCTCTCTCTGCCCCTCCCCCATTCATGCTCTGTCTCTCTCTGTCCCCAAAATAAATAAACGTTGAAAAAAAAATTTTTTTAATAAAAAAAAAAAAAAAGAATGCACAGGTAATTTGACATAGAAACTGCAACAGTCCTCCACTCCTTACAAAGATCAGGCTGCCAGGAGAGCCGCTGTGACATAACTTAGCTGCCAGATCAGAAGCAATGAAAGAGAAGCAACTATGAAAAATGGGGACAGGTCAGAGAAAGACACTGGGTTGCTAAAGTCCCAGCCAGG